TGTATATTGAGTAGCTGCGTCCAGTGGACGATAAGAAATAGTTCTTCGGAAGTACTTTTATCTTGAGCGTCGTTTTTCAACTGATAATTATAGGGTTATGAACTAGTTGATTCGACGTTTTACAAAGAAAAGGAGCGAAGCCTTTATGTATTATAGTTGATGAAAAGCTCGATATAACGCCGNAGTTTTGCCCACAAATCGCCAACCCTGTGAGACTTTCGCTTCGCGCACTGCGGCGTTAAAACAGCAGTTAACAAAACATCAAGTCAAATTAAGTTATAAAGAGGATTCCTCCCACTTCGTGAGTTAAGGTGGAGAGCAATAAGGTTAAGAAGGTAAACTCATGCTGATAGTATGAAAACGAAAGGATTGAACGTAAGGCGCTTGTTTGGTTTTCTGTTTCTGCCCGGTGATTATAATGATGATATTATTGAGGTCATTACGGTCTTCCAAACTTCTTGAGTTAGCCTGGTACACCGAATTCTAGAAAGGAAACTCCTCATGGCTCCGAAGCTGCCTTGTGGGGACAGTTCAGAATCGTAGTTACTGCTACATTGTTAGATTGTATAACACTTGAGTAATTTTTACTCGAATGGAATTTCGCACTTCAGTTTCCGTCCAGGCCGGCTTTATACTTCCCGTGTTCTGAGCTTCTACTCCGAAAGAATAATACAATCATTTTATCTTGGAGAAGAATGTGAAATACAATGTCCTAGCAACTTTGTATAGTGCCATAGACAATAATAAAAGGAATAGCAAAATTGGAAAATAGATGAAGTGGAAGAGCATGGAGTATATCGTTAACTCTCCACCCAGAGATTGTTTTGCCATTAATTTTTCTACTGTATCGCGAGCAAGGTGACACTGAATCTATTAGGATTTAGCTGTGTACTGTAACTGGGTATATTTCACATATTGACTACAAAATACTAGGATTTCTGCCCTATAGAAATAAATAACCTTGGAAAACAGGCAATTACCCTTTAGGACGAATATTTGAAGCACTCGGAAAAAGGCGCAGTTACTTAGCTGCAACCCTGATATTAAGCGAGCCATAGTAAGCATATGGGCCTTATAGGCAATTCACAATTTCAATACAAAATCACGATTGAATGGAATTCTCGTTTTAAACGGCAACATTTAAGTTGACTATTTCTCACTATTCCCCTTTCTAGGTAAAGATCCCCCACGAAAGTAGAATTTATAGCTACAGGAATTGAACAGAGTTCATGAGGGAACATACATATGTCACTATGATAAAATGTTCATTTGCAATCTGAAGATGAATGTTGACGCATCATTGCTACTCTTATCTGTTAACAGCACTTTACGACGTGCAGCATCGTAGCTTTCACACAATGAACGATACGACATGTATGTACGATCGAGAGATTCCTGGAACGATTTCCATTCAACTTATGCAGGACTAGCAAAAGAAACGTCTCGATAGCTATTGATTGATCGCAGAGAAAATATTTACGAATTGGGAATAGAATTTATCCCCAAAGCTTAAGTGACTATCGCCGTTCCCAACATCTTACATTGGTCATCTTACACTGTCAGGATCGTCGTTCATGTTGCTAGGAAAAGAAAGCTCTCCTTGACTTAGGTGAGCCAGATGAAGAAAAATCAATTTGCTATAGTCCCCTGGTCAGGATCAGGGTCAATGAGTCCCATTCAAGTCATGGCCTTTGGGAGCCCTGCTGAAACGTCCCGAAAATCGTATGCAACAAGAATGAAATAAGTGTATGACATGATCAATGAGACGTCCCTTTGGGAGCAGGCCTCTTTGCCAGCCTTCTTCTCCCGCAATACGAGCATTACGGTAGATGGTAGACCACTGTCAAGATCCTCCTTCATGTGGCTAGGAAAAAAGGGCAAAGTTAGACATTTGTAAGCCATACGGCTCTGAAGAAAAATAAATTTGCTAAATTTAGGCTACTAAAGATGACAGCTCAGATAGGGGAAGCTACGTTACGAG